AATTATAAGTATCTAGAGTTTACCTTCATTGGGATAAGTCCAAGGGCCCTATCTCAAAGGAGTTCTACGTCATAAAAGAAACGTATCTCTAGCCATATTATTAACCTTTATATTACCTTATTCATTTGTATAAGAATCAAATTAGGAGAGATAGTCCTTTCAAAATCTTCTCTCCCAAAATGTCTAATTATGATATTTGAATAATTATAAGATATCTATAATTATTTTCCTAGAACAATTTACAATCATCCAATTCATAGATTTTCGATTTATTATACTAAGAAAGTAGTTCACTCCAATCAAATTCTCATATAAACAACTCTCATTTTCATAATAAAAGAACTAAAACCCACCTTAAAGTTAAACTAAATAGTCTAAAATAATATAGTTGAATACACCAACTGCAAATACGATATTAGATTTATCGGGTCACAAATTGTAACAAACTTCTATGGCTACTAATCTGTTCACCAATATATATGGAGCATTACTTAATTACCTCCAAAAAAATTCATAAATGGTCCAGTCCCAGACAACAGTAATAGTTTTTTAACACTTTGAGCTTCCTCCAATGGCTCTTTTATGTTGCTATTTCCTTCCTGTTTAGTACTTTGGGTCACTCCAATGCTTGGTGAGTAGTAGGTCCTGCATCAAATTCATTCAATCCAAATTATCGTCAGGGCCTCGATCGACCGTGTACGTTAGTCGAATTCTATTTGGGGTTGTCTCTCTTCTATACTAAAAAAAAAATATTATGTAATTGGATCAAATTTGAAAATCTAATCCATTTTACCATTAAATTGACAATGAATTTCAGTAGATAATAAGATTCACTATCAATCCTATCGCAATAATAGATTAAGAGTGTGTTTGAAATAACTTAAAAAAAATATTTTTTTGATATTTTGATTTATCATAAATACTTTGAAAAAAAAGTTGTGTTTGGATCAATATTTTAAAAACACTTTTTAATAAATAAAAGTAATTTTAGTGCTTATATAAGCTATTAAGGAGAAGTTAAAAAAATTTACTTTTACTTCCGATAAACGTTTTTTTAATTAAAACACTTACCTTCCCCCGATATCTCTCACGATCTCTGTTGCGCCCGATTCAGTCGATCTCTCTCTTGATCTCTGCCTGCTCTAGTACTGTGTTGACATGTAGCCATCATCGACTATCGACTACCTCCGACCACACTTTCTTCTATCATCTCGACGACACCGGAGAGTTCCATTAACGATACTGGAGCTTCCCTCTCTCTCACCGAGCGTTAATGAAATATGATGTTTGGTTTCAGATTTTTTTTTTGCTTCAACGATCAAATCATCAAAGCAGAGGAGAATCACATTCTATCAAAGCATGGCAATCGATTTGTGTTGTTTAGAGATATTTGTAATTTTTTGGTGCGCTCTGATTCCAGCCAATGAATTGGAGTTGTTATTGACAGTAGTAACAAATATGTGCATAAGCTCTTTGAATTTGATAGTGAACCACCTAATTTTGGTTAAGTGGTTGGGATTACAATCTGATATGCAAATAAACTGTGATAGGTGATTATTGAATGAATGGTTTTTTCAAGAATCATCTATGAATCAATATGCATGTAAGGTGTTTGATAAAATGAGCTCCCAAACATTCATAGCAGAGTTAAAGGAAATAAGTCAAATAGATTGTACTGCTACTAATTATAACGTTTTCTCCTTTAGAAATTATCAGTCATTGATGTTATGGATCTTCTGTTATTCATCAATAGTGTGGTCATGAAACTATATCAAATTAGCGGGAAACCACCTCTTCTTTCTGCAGGGGTGGGTGGAAAAGAAGTTGGAAACAATTAAAATGTACCAATTCCCCAATAAAGTTCTAGAGGCTGCTAGAGAAACACTTTGGTGTATGCTTTTCCTATCCATGAAAAGCAATCCTGTCTTCGGGATTTTACAAAATTGGCTAGAGCATCCGAAGCCTTGTTTACTTTATGACGACTTATTGACATATAAGGTATGCGGTTATACCCTTTCAAGTATTTATCTTGTAAGAATGATCATACATGCTCTCTGTATTTTGTAGTCTCATAAGAATGATCACACGATGTGCAGATCAGTACTTGGCTGATTAAAGGTTTTTTGGGAAGATTGGAGTTTCGCTTGGTACATATTTTTCGGGAAGCAAATGAAGTAGCTGATAGACTTGCTGGATAGGCCGTTATGGGTAGAAATTCTGTGGATTATTCGGTGGGTTTGCAGCTGCCTTGTGAGGTTTCTTTGGCTCTTCGTTCTGATCAGCAGGGACTTCCTGTTTTGCGCCCGAGGAAGAGAGTTGTTTTTTATGATAAAGGCGAAGGCAGACTGCGTGGTCCTTATGGAGTTTTTGCCTTCAAAGTTTAAGTGTTGAGTTGATTTGTTTGAAAATTGGAGAAGTTACACTTGGGTTCATCATGTCTTTAAATCACTGATATTCCATGGATACCTTTTTATTTTTGTGAATTTATGTAAATATTTGATAAATTATCACTAAAAATGTATCATGGAATAACCATTGACGTTTTTAACAAAAAACATGCAAACACACACACACACACACACACACACACACATATATATATATATATATATATATATATATATATATATATATATATATATATATATATATATTTGATTATGAAGGGTATATTTGTAATTGTGATACAAATAAATACTTTTTTAATTGATCATTCAAACACAATTTTTGTGAAATTATTTTTATTTAAGTACTTTTTTAATGACATCCAAACAATGCTTATGGAAAAAAGTATTTTTTAATAAAATACTTTGTAAAAAATAATTATTTAAAAAGTACTTTTGAATTTAATAAATCATCCCAAACAAGTTCTAAAGTCTCGAATTTGGACGTTTCTCTATTTGATGTATTGTAAGCTCTTTAAGGTGACCAAAGTGAACTTTTTATAACATCCTGTGTTTAAAATTTTCATCACAAATAAACGCGTTGTCTTAAGAGGGGATTTGAATTTGGGGGCGGTTTGAATGATTGACACCAAAACGCGTTAATAGTCAAGTCTTGCATATGAACTGGTGGTCCCTTGAAGCAATGTCTTCGCATATGCATATTACCAAGCATTTGTTTTGAATAGGACACATACCTAACATTATTAAGGCATAGGATTAGTCAAAGACGCGCTTTCGCCATGGCAATACACACACACACGCGCATATATATATATATATATGCACTGCCATGGCCACACTGCAATCACCACCACCCACCCCATCCCCCCCTATATCTACCCCCATAAACCCCTTATCTTACCCATGAGTGATCTCGTCTCAAAGCTGCACAAAACCTCCAGCACCGAAGCTTCAGTTGAGGAATTGATATTTGGAGTAACATTCGTAGCAGCCTTTGGATTATTACAACTACCTACCCTATCAGAAAATAGATGGTAACCCAGTCCCAACCATCATTTTTAAGGACAACCCTTCTTTTTTTCATGCATTTAAGTGGTAGAGGGCCTTACTCAATTTTTAGAAAGATTGATATTTGAATCCCAACCCACTCGTATCACTTGATTGAACTATGAACATATACTACTGAAGTAAATTATTTTCTTAGTTTTGATATTGAAGTACAATAACACTTTCAAACACTCAAAACAGTTACAGTTCGACTCGCTTGTGTCCAATGTATTCAACTGATACTTGTGATTTGTAACTAATTATAAGTATCTAGAGTTTACTTTCATTGGGATGGGTCCAAAGGCCCTACCTTGAAGGAGTTCTACCTCATAAAAGAAAATGCATATCTAGCCATATTATTAACCTCTACATTACCTTATTCGTTTGTATAATTATAAGAGATCTATAATTATTTTAGTAGAACAATTTACAATTGTCCAATTCATAGATTTTCGATTTATTATATTAAGAAAGTAGTTCACTCCAACTAAATTCCCATATAACTGGCACTCATTTTCATAATAAAAGAACTAAAACCCGTCTTCAATCTAAACTAAACGTACTCGACACAAACTATTCCCAATCTAAAATAATACAATTGAATACAGCAACTGCAAATGCGATATCAGATTTATCGGGTCACATATTGTACCAGACTTCTATAGTTACTAATCAGTTCATCAATATATATGAAGCGTTACTTACCTCCAAAAAAAAATCATAAATGGTCCAATCCCACACAGCAGTAGTAGTTTTTGAACACTTTGAGCTTCCTCCAATGCTCTTTTATGTCTCTATTTCCTTTCGGTTTAGCACTTTGGATCACTCCAACGATTGGTGAGTAGTAGGTCCTGTGTTCAAATTCATTCAATCCAAATTGTCATCAGGCCCTCGATCAATCATGTATGTTATTCAAATTCTATTTGAGCTGTCTCTCTTCTGTACTAAAAAAAAAAATTACGTAATTGGATCAACTTTGATAATTTAATCCATTTTATTATTAAATTGACAATGAATCTTAGTCGATAATAAGACTTACTAGCAATCCAATCGCAATAATAGATCATGTATCCAAATTAAATTCGAGTAATGTTTCTCTATTTGATGTATTGTAAGCTCTTTAAGGCGACCAAAATGAACTTTTTATAATATCCTGTGTTTAAAATTTTCATCATAAATAAACGCGTTGTCTTAAGAGGAGATTTGAATTTAGGGGCGGTTTGAATGGTAGACGCCTAAACGCGTTAATAGTCAAGTCTTGCATATCAACTGGTGGTACCTTGAAGCAATGTCTTCGCGTATGCATATTATTATTTGTCGAGCATGGCGGATTTAATTGTCAAGATAGGTAAATTTCGAAAGCGACATATACCAACCATTACTGTTTTTCTATTTGAAAAGGACATATATAATACTAGTCAAAGACGCGCTTTCGCCATGGCTCTATATATTTGTAAATGTGCACTGCCATTGCCACACTACAACCTCCATCACCACCACGCCACCCTGTCCCCCCTATATGTACCCCCATAAACCCTTCTCTTACCCATGAGTCATCTCGTCTCAGAGTTGCACAAAACCTCCATCACCAAAGCTTCAGTTGAGGAACTTATATTTGGAGTAACATTCGTAACAGCCTTTGGATTATTACAACTACCCTATCAGAAAATAGATGGTAACCCCGTCCCAACCATCATTTTTAAGGACAACCCTTCTTCTTTTCATGCATTTCTTCTAGCTATCAATTTTGCCTTTACCGGGGCGGTACTAACAGTGTCTCTGCGTGCGAGGTATCCAAAGATAGCTAGATATTGTCGTCAACTTGCTGTTGTTTGTGTAACGGCAGCTGCAGGTGTAATTTTCTGGGCAGCTTTACACTATTACTTTTAAGTTTGTGGCATCAGCTTCATATATATACCATCTATTGTATGGTATCTCAGGTTGTTCATGTTGTTCTCGTGGTATTTCAAATATTATAAAACTTTTTATTGAAATTTATGATATTATGCAACTTAAAATAAAACAAACCAGTAACAGTAAAGTACAAAACAGTTATACAGAAATAGTCTTATACGAAAGAGTTACAAAAAAAAATTATAGTTGTCTTACGAAATTGTAACGGCAAACAGTTATACGTAATTGTTTGTCAAATTAATATAAATACTAACTCGGTTGCAAACAAAGAACTGTTATTGAAGTTGATATAAATCAAGACTAGTGTTTGACACTATGTCCTTAACATAGATTTCGCCCCCATACACGATGCTTATGAAATACCGAGTATCTGCCTCCAAGGATATAATGATCTTTACACGAGTAGAAGTAGTACTCCAATCTACTCGTCCAGCGAACCAAAATTGTGTTGTGTACTCTCTAAATGCAGACTCCTTAATGCTAAAAATGTTATGCACTAATGTCTGACTTAATTCTGTATATAACTGATAATTGTAATAAATTAAATGCATGTATAAACTGGAGATTTATAGACACCTTGATAACTTTCCGAACAGCCACTATATTAAAAGATCAACCCATATGACAAATGCGAGCCAGGAGACCACTTGTTATAACTGTTCTCTATGAACAAAAACAATTTAATTCAGACTAGAGGGAGGCAACAAACTCGACCTAGTGCAATCCAACGGGTCACGCCCAATTAATTAAATGAATTTTCTTCAAAAAGATAGGGTTTTATCCAATAGGGAAGTTGAAATATAGAGATGCAGTATATGCTAGTGTTGATATGTTGATTTTTTGGGAGAGTTATAAAATCAGTGTTGATCTGTTGATTTTTTATGCTAGTGGACATATGTTTCCATGGAGGCAACATATTGTATATATGTATATAGCTTTGTTGCTTGGAAATTTAAATGGTATGGGATTGAGAGAAATTATAGATTAAACATGTTTGAATTGTATATTATGTCCTAAGATATAACATGTTTGAGTTTTGTCATGATTTTTTTTTCTGAATTTTATTGTGTAATTGAGTTCGCTTACATGTTTGCCTTTTTTTTTTTTTTTTTTCTCATTGTAGTACATTTACTGTTATCACCACTTACCCACTGTAGTCGGTTTTCATTTGTGTTCACGCAAATTGTTGGCAGTTGAAGTTATGGGACCTTATGGTAATATGGATTTGGAGTTACTTAGCACTCTCCATACAATTTGACAATCCACATTGACTTACTCTGTTGAGGTGAGCCTCAATGTCACTTTCTACTCTTCTCTAATGTTCATTTGTTGGATATCTTTATTGTCTATTTTTTGTTGGTCTTGATTTGGCTGTGGTTTAATTTTTAGTGGTTTAAATGTTCATTACCACTACATTGTTGGTACCAAATTGTTTGAGGCCTATTTAGACACTCATTGTGAGATCAATTTTGTAATCATTTTTGTGTTTTGTTTCAGCTGGATTGAGTTACACAGATCTACAAAGAAAGCAGTTTGAGTGGAAGTCATAAGTGAAGAGTATTAATGATCTTAAGCGTAGAGCTAGAATAGAAAAATAGGAAAGGTAGGTTGCGCAAGAGGTCACATTATGTTCCTTTGGCTCCTGAACTTATAAATGTCAGAGTCGAATTATTGCCTGAGTTTCAAAAGTTGCTCATAACAATCCTATTTATTCATGTGTGTAATAGTCATTGTCACATACTCTTATGTGCAAAGCTAGAATTTTTTTCACCAAATTTTCTTTTGAAGCTGTTAATAGTAGAGTAACTGCGGATGAACATTTTTTGTTGTCGTTGATTTGGCTACTTAAATTTTCAAGGCTTTGTTCGGCATAATGGATTTTAGGCTTTGGAATTTATTTTGAAAATAAAGTGATCAAGATTGCAGAAGCACTTTACATGGTCTGAATTCATGTTCATTGGATATGTTTACATGCGTTTTCCATCATCTAAATTTCAAATCTTAAACTTCCATTGAATTTGAATGTCAAAGTGTGCAGTTTCCTGATCAGTTAGTTTGATTAGCATTTGTAGTTTCTTGATTTGTTTTACTTGCAATTTCCTGATCAGTTTATTGTGGTGATATTTTTTTGTGATCTGCATAGTTGGTGGTGTGACAATTTTGTATAAAATAAGTTTTAACACACAATTTACATCATATTATAATGACAATTCTCCAATATGCAAGAAAATAAATGCGTAATATATATATAGCTTACCATGACGTAGGAGAGCTAGCCAGATGCCTTGCAGAAGACATATAGGCCTGAAACATATTCTCAAACTGGGTCTGTCGAATATTCATCTCTTCAATTTGAGTTTATTAGGACTCTATCATCTGATTCTGGGATTGTATCTTTTGATTTTGAACCTCTACTTGCTCAAGCAACTCATACTGAACTCTCCCAGCCTCGTTAGACCTCCTTATATCTTCTTGTGCATCCAAAGTAGCTTTTTGACTTGATTGGACATGTGTGGGGCTTTGGGCCATGCCCGAGACCACGTATATACCCCGACCTTATTCTAAGTACAAGGTCGCATATCCGATCTAGATTTAACATGGTGCCACCCTCTGGTATAGGCTGGGATTGCAACTCCAACGTTTGATTCTACAATTTTAAAAGTGTAATGCAACAAATAAAAAATTTGTATAAAACTAAAAATTGAAGTATAATATATTACTCAATCTTACATATTTCAACTCAACTTCATCGCATAAACACCCTTTCACTGGATCAACACCCACATACATGCTATTATAATCAAAAGATTTCCCATGGTGTACCCACGGGATGTAATTTTGTAATATCCCATTTTTGAATAGATGATCTTCTACCTCTAAAGTGCACGTTCATGCATTTGCGCCACAAGCATCGAATAATATTAACTTGATTCATATGATCATGTGCAAGCTTAATAAATGATTTAACTTCATTTTCGTAAAAATCACAAATTCTATGACTTAGCTGCATCCAACTTCTATCCATATTCAAATCTCTATAGCAGTAGTATCAAACAAGAAAATCAAAACAAATAAATAAAAATAATAAATAAAACAAAATAGTAACGATTGAAACAATTTCATTTTTCACAACGTGAACATTCATACTTAGCAACATATGAGAATTCAATTGAACAGTGCCATATAAAAAGGTTAATAATTAGTGGAGAAATCCTTTGCTCGTTAAGAAAAGTATAAATGATATACGAATTCATAAGAGTTATCTTAGTCAATTTCATTGAATATGTGAAAAGAAGTGAGGGCCAATGGACCTAATTAAATGAAATATTTTTCTACTTACAATAGCATATATGACAAAAGAATGACTGAAACAGTGAACTATTTAGTTTTTTTTTTAAACCTCGACTATGCGAAGAAAAGTTTTATTCAAAATTTAAAATTTTGACAACCTAGTAATGGGAGAAATTTCGGCCTTACCCCATAATTTGACTACAATACCTTAAATTCAACAATATTTAAATTTAAAAGATGACTAATCTTTAGAGGAAAATTCCTTAGAAACAGCCTTGTTTCACCAAAACTTTAGGCAATAGGAATTTTTTGGCATTCTTAATCCTTCTTGACCGAAACTCTTGTTTATCAATGGAAATAGTATCTCAACAAAACTCTTGCTTGACTAATTCATGTGGGTCCCATATTTTGCATGTATCCCTTATAATATTCTTCCACCAATTTCTCTTCGAGCAGACTAATGGATTACCAACAATGCTATTCTAATCAAATTGGCACAGTAACTGATGCGATGCAACTAAACTATAACAATTCTATTCTTATCAAATATATTCATTTAACTTGAATGATGCAACTAAAACTACAAAAATTCGATTCTAATGAAATTTTGTCATCAACTCAAGTGATGCAACAAAAACTATAGAAGTTATAGCGACCCGCTAATTCAACAATTTATATTGATTGGCAATACCGAAAAGTTGATAAGAAAAAAATAGTTTGAAACAACTTTATTGATTATCATTTTTTCATTTAAACCTAGATATAATAACAGAGCTGGATTATGAGACTAACTTGAATTTTTCTGCAATGAACGGTGCACCGTATCAAATTCATCGCAATACAAAGGTTGTTCTTTGCAAGGAGAGAGGTTGTGAAACAGAAAGAGCGTGCGAGAGAGAGGAAGGGGGAGTGATGGCTGTGAATGGGGAAAGAGGGATCATGATCGTGGGAGCCCCAGACTGAAAAAATAGGACTCTTAAACTCCTGTAATTGGATTAGCGGGAACATGATAGGCATGAATGAAAGGAGGTTCTCAATCTGGTAAACAAAACAATGTAGGGCTAATTTCTTTTTTTACCCAAAAATATACATCAATTTTCAATTTATACTCTTAAAGAACTGTATTATCAAATTATGCCCTCAATGTTATATAACATGTGCAATGTGGCCCCATTTCAAGTTCAAATTACACCCTCAATCTTAAATTTTACCTTGAATTGGGCTACATTGCATCTAGTTCATAACATTAAGGGTGTAATTTGAGAATCCAATTCTTTAAGGGTCGAACTTGAAAATTAGAGCATCTTTTAGGGTCGAACTCCGATTAAAATTCTTTAAGGGTCAAACTCCGATTAAAATTCAATTCGAATCAATTAACATTTATATTTTTTTAACATATTAAAATTCAAGTCTATTAAAATTCGATTTAAACTGATTAAAAATCGTTTTTTACGCATTAAAATTTGAGTCAATTAAAATTTATATTTTTTTAACGTACTAAAGTTTGGGTTAATTAAAATTCGATTGAATGAGCACACCGTGTTTTATGTTGGATTTGGAGTGGCTGCCTTTCATTTGTGCTAGCATTATATTAGTTCAGTGGTATAGGCTTCACGTGTGAGAATGCCACATCAGAATAAAATAATAAAGTGAATAATTTCATATTATATGAATGCGTTCAATAGACTTAATCTTTAGCTGTTAGATTAATCAAACATAAAAGGAATTAGATTATGAACACGTGAAAACTTGTGTAATGCACTGAGACTAGTTAAATGGGTTGTTCAAGCTGAGTAGTGTTCAACATGAACCTATAAAAGAGCCTCTATAATATATATATATATATATATATATATTGTTTGTTAATTTTTGCATATTTGATGAAAATATTAACAAAAAATTAAAATTTTAAAATTGTAGAATTTATTTTTGTGAGTTGGATATATTTAACGATTGGAGATTTTTGTAAATCAATTTCAAGCATAGGGGTATAAAGGTAAAAGGCATATTTATGTTATCACCGTCATTCGACACACGGACATTGGGTGTCAGAGAAGATTCAAAGACAAAGAGATGAAAATTTGAATCCATTAACTGTCAGTGATTTTTTTTAACTTGCCCAGAAAAACCCATGAATTAAACTAGTGTACTTTAATTTAGAATCAAAAATAGAGAGATGGAGACAGTGGTTACACAAATTTCATCGCTTTGAGTTTTCAATTTATATATTATACAATTTCAGAATTTGTTAGGTTGATTCATCAATGGCTAGTCACTTGTTTGTTGAGTCAACTGATTGTTATATTCCAGATTAATGAAATAGAAGATTTGTTAAGAATGTTAATTTTGGATCAACACATAATTAATGATTTCTGGTTGACTAATTCTTTACACGAATTTGAAAAAAGCACGACCTATTAACATAAACAATAAATAGATTAAATTAGTATTGAATACAAATAAACTGAAATTGACCAAATAAACACATTTAATGTGTATTGCCCTGTCATTCTAGAAATATTTTTTTTAAAGAAAAAATCAAGAAAATTTATAGAATGAATCCAAGAGAATTACAAGATGCAAACCAGGGCACATCCCTATATACATCACCATTTTAAGGCTTTAATCCTTCAAAACACAAAAAACAAACAAAACTCCTCCACCTCGAGGACACTGGCCCCTCAGCAACTTCAACCCATATCATCAAAGACCAAAATCCTCCTGATCTAAAGAACTGAAAGCTTCCTCTGGTCTTGTAACAGCCAAACATTCACATCAGTAGGCAGTTGCCTCGAGCCCGAAAAATCACAAGAAACCCTCTGACATAAACTAAATTATTTTTAGTAACATAATTAATTTAGTTACTAAAAATATGAAAGTTTTAGTGGCGACTTTATAATCATCACTAAAAGTATAAAAATTTTAATAATAAACCAATGTTGTCGCTAAAACTATGAAAGTTCTAGT